GCTTAAAGTGGGTTGGAGAGCGGTGTACTTGGTGGCACTGTGGCCTAGCAGTGCCAAGGTCCTGATTTATAACTCTCAGCCTGTGTTTGAATTCTTCCCTACTCATGTGGTGATTTGGTTCCTAGTCCAAAAACAACCATTAGGTTTATTTGTCTCCCTAAATTATCATTTAATATGAATGTTCAAGTAGGTAACAAACTGGTGACCTATGGAGGGTGTTTAAGCTAAACCAATCCATTGTAGGTTAAGCTAATTTTCTCAGTCTCTGACCTTCTAAATAGTGAATCTCTGCCAAAATTTTATGTATTCAACTGTTCTTTTTTTAGTTAAGTGTAAAAATTTATTTATTCTCCTACTGTATGCTTATGCACATCCTTGCTCTGTTCTGCAATTAAGAATTGGACGTTAAAACTACATTTACGTTTTAATGAATGCCACCTCTTTTCTGCCCCAAAACTTGCTGTTAACTTGTCAAAGCCTTTTATATTATATCATACATTGTATTTTATTGTTATTTATATGCTCTGCAATAAGGATTAAATATTTTTTGATGTGCTAATGAAATACAAACACTAATTCTTCGACTCTTTTTCTGCATTCCTATAGTGAAATCCTTCAATGATAATTTGCATTATGTAGCTTTTGAATGCAACAGTTGGGTCAAAAAGAGGCTGAATAATTGTGTGAGCTGTAACATGGAAATCTGTAAACTATGTATCCTTTTTCTTTCATTTCAGTTACACAAGTTATTGTGTGTCATACAAACATAAAAAACACATTTGTAACTTAAGCTTTATTTAAAAAAAAAAAAGCTTCTGCATCACAGAATATCTAGATGAACATTAGTTCTGCAGCTCTCTGAAAGATTGTTCTGTTTTCAGTTTTAAAGAGATCCTTGTTAAAGTTTTTCGTCATTACCTGTTGATGAAGTTTCCCAGATTGTTAAGCAGCTCAGAGTTGTTTTTTAAAGCCATATCAGCCCAAGAAAAAGCAGAATCTTGTCCTTCTGGACGGACGTACAGCAGGTAGAACCGCCATACATCTGAGGGGATGCCCGTGTCCTTTGCCATGTCTCCAAACACACCAACACCCCTGCTCTTAGAGAACTTGGTGTCCTCGTAATTAAGATATTCTGAGGAATTAAAGTAGGAGGAGGAAGTCAGCCATTTATGTAAATAACATTAGCAAATAAATTATTGGATGAACCTGATCAGAGATGGGAAGTGCTCACCAGTGGCAACTAGGTGGTTAACCAGAGTGTAGTTGTCCTGGGCTCCCAGAAGGGAGCAGGGAAACACCACACTGTGGAATGGCACATTGTCCTTTGCCATAAAGTTATACAGCTCCACCTGGTGGTAGAGACAACACTGCGTCTTAAGGATGACATCATATTAGATCACCATGAGATCATCCAGTTCAAAGAGGACTTATCTAACCCCCGCACCTACAGGCTAACACACTCACTCTAGAGCCTCAATCCCAGGGTTTTACATGAGGAGGGATGAGATGAATCAAAGAGGTTTAAAAGGGACAGAATGTCACAGTACAGGTCAGTTCAGTGTACTGGTGTCCATGTAATTACGTCAACATGTCAGTTTCCCCAATTGGTTAATGTGTGAGGAAGATAAGTGAGTCATGAGCTTAATATATGATTTTTATTCTGCAGAGAAAATGTCAAGTTATTCTGGGCCACTTCACGAATAAGACAAAAATAAAACCTCAAATAGATTGTAGATGCCAATAGTCACTCACAAGTGGAAGTTTTTTTTTTATCGACATTGAGCTCATTGATTTTACAAAGCAAGTGCCTATATGTGATTGGGAATCTTCTGGATACAAATGACCTCAATATCTGCTAAACCTCAGGGTTTAGTTGGTAACTCCATGTCCCACAGATGGGGACAAAAAAAAAACCCACATGGGGAAATGCAAAATACAACTGGGTCTACTCTAGGTGGAAACGAGGACAAATATCTGTGTCAAGATTGTGCATTAGTCCTTTGTAGGGCTCAGTAGAGCCTGGTACCTGATGCGGATTTTTCCACCACTTTTCCCAATCGCTGGTGTAGTTGGCAGTAATAGACAGGTAGCCAATAGGGGCGTCAAACCACACGTAGAACACCTGCAGAAGAACAAAGACATACATTTATGGTTAGAGTAAAGAAGAAAATTCTGAATATCATTTTAAATTAGGGTAAATAATCTTTTAGTGATTGTGCAAGATCCAGATTAATCTGAACTTCAAGATAATTCATTAAAACATTCATGTGAGAATATATTTCAGATCTCTTTTCTTACCAAAGAAACATCTATGACTTGACTGAGAGCTAAATAAGTTAAGCTCAAATATAGACAGTACTTCCTAAATAGCTGATGCAATTTCAAACTCCATACCATCCTTTGCAAAATCATAGTTTAGTTTCAAAAATCTAAGAATACTTAGCAGAAGGAATTAACGTCTTTTAGATTTTTCAATTTCTCAAACAAATAAAACACAATCTGTGAAAACCAACCATATATGATGAATCCAGTAACATCAAAAAGAAAAGAGACGCTTTTCTGCCCATCTGCACACTGAGCTTTGTTGCTGTATTTTACTGAAAATATCAAAGCAAACCTTCTCTTTAAAGTCAGGGTGAGGTACTGGCGTTCCCCACTGCAAGTCCCTGGTGATGCAGCGAGGCTTGAGTCCATCTCTTAGCCAGGAGCGAGTTATTTGTTTGGCGTTTGCTGTCCAGTCTCCTGAGCTGGTTGATTTCTCCAACCACTGCTCCAGTTGAGTTTCAAGCTGCATTAAAAGGCAAGAAAACAAGAAAAAAATAAAATATAAATAATAAATATCCACACATCCATGCATTTTCTGACACGCTTAATCCCAAGTAGGATCGCGAAGGGTGCTGGTGCCCATCGCCAGCTGTCTACAGGCGAGATGCGGGGTACACCCTGGACAGGTCGCCAGTCCATCGCAGGGCAACACAGAGACAAACAACCATTCACATACACACTCACACCTAAGGAGAATTTAGAGAAGCCAATTAACCTAACAGTCATGTTCTTGGACTGTGGGAGGAAGCCGGAGTACCCGCAGAGAACCCACTCATGCTCAGGGAGAACAGGCAAACTCCATGCAGAAAGACCCCAGGCCAGGAATCGAATCCACGACCTTCTTGCTGCAAGGCAGCAGTGCTACCCACTGCTCCACTGAGCAGCCCCGAAAAAAATAAATAAAAATTTTTTAACTTTATAGTAGAGCTTTTGAAAATGAACAGGTGTTTTTAAAACATTTCCACAGAAAAAACAAACTTAAACAAAAGGGAGCATTGTAAAGCAAAGCTTAAACGTTACCTTTGGCAGGTCCAAGAAAAGATGTTTGGAAGAGCGGATTACTGGAGTCTGCTTGCAGACTTTACACTGAGGTTCCTGAAACAACATCAATTTACAAATTACTGAATTGTAGACTTAAAAATATATTTTTTTTCCAAATTGTGGATCATGGATTATTTATGGATCAAGGTAACAAGAGGCCTTTTAAAAAAGGTCCAGATCACAGGCAGGTCTGAAGTGATAGCAATAACAGGTCACGGCAATATAACATTTACAGAAAAACATCTCCATAAAATTAAAAATAAATACAGCAAAGACTCCTAACATTTCTCCACCAACAGGCGTATGGAAAAAATATATGAATGTAAAACACTTCGGCTGATAACTTCTTAATTCAGTGAGGCAAAACCAGATTATCCTTCCAATTCCTAATGTATTATTTGTAAGAAAAAAGTAAAAAGATATGTAGGAACAAGTTGAGCTTAAAATAAGTTCGAGTGATCAAGCTTCCAGTAAAATTAAAGGTGTTAAATAAAAAGACTGAACTTCATTTACTCACGAAAAAAAAAAAAAAAAAAAGTCTCATTTTCAACAAAGGCTGAGTCAACTAAAATCTGGACAACTCAAAAGTTTCCAGCCACCACAGCAGGTGTGATCTTACATATCGGCGTGCAAACCTGGTCGGCACAATTTTGGTTGTTACAATAATGAGTTATGAATGAATGAGTTCTCTTGAGTTGAATTGAATAGAATGAATATTTTGTAGGAATTAAAGGAACAGCTCTAGATTGGTTTAAATCTTATCTATCTGACCAATTTCAGTTTGTTCACGTTAATGGTAAATCTTCCTCGTACTCCAGGGTTACCTGTGGAGCACCACAGGGATCAGTGCTAAGACCAATTCTCTTTACTATATATGCTCCCAATCGGTAGAACTGTTAGATAAATCTATACTTCCAGTCATCTTGCTCACAGCTAGACAATACATAGCACAGAGAGGACACGATGAGTCACAGGAATGAAGTAACAGAGGATAATTCAGGGAAATCCTTGAAACTTTTGTAAATCATGGTGCAGCTGTTCAACACAGACTAACATCCATTCATAATGCAAAGTACACAACAAAGACGGTGGTCCGCGTATTGGAACACCATGGCCTAGACTATAAAACAACCTTATAGGCCGGGCATATGAATGAGCTGATGAGTGGTAAGCATTCAGGGGTCCAGGCGAGAATCGGAGAACAAGCAAAATTTGAATTTTACATCCACTGCAGTGCCCACTGCCTTAATTTAGTGCTAGTTGATTCTGTCAAAGCAGTACCAGAAGCAGAGGAATTCTTTGGGTTGTTTCAGAGTCTTTATGTTTTCACTTCTGACTCATATGTGCACGCCAAATGGCTGGCTGTACAAACTGAAATGTATGGCGTCACAAGAGAGTTCCAAAAACTGTGAGACACACGATAGGCTTGTCCGTTCATAGCCCTATGTAACATAATGGATTGTCTGCCCTCAGACATGTCCTACAGATGTTATTCAAAGACCAACTGTGAGCTGATGAGTTAACCCCAAGAGTGATGCATTTTTAAAAGACACAACTGTTTGAATTTGGTCGTCTTTGTGATGCCAATGTCGAGGATCTGGGACCTGAACTCCATAAGTTCAGAAGACTTTTAACCTCCTGAGACCCCGCATCCTCATATGAGGACATTACATTTTTGCTGTTCTGCCCCATGATACTTAATTTGTAAGAATTTTGACCAATTGTCCTCATCTGGGGGCCCTGCCTGCACCACCTAGTGGTCTCATAATGAAATTACACTCATTTGAAAAAAACCAGCATGGCAGGAATGACAGCGAAAGTCTTCTACGGCAGCTCCCGACAGAAACATGGACAAGGTAAAAATCCTAATCGAATTTTATGATTGAAACTAGTTTTTTTATGCACAACAATGTCTCTAGCTTCACATAGCATGCTTATTTGATATATTTGAGTAATATTAGCAAGCTACAATGTCTGTAAACATGACGTACTTATTTGAGGACATCAGGTCTAGCTTCAGTGCAAAAACGTAAAATTTTTCCAAGAGCATTTGTGTTTACTTCTAGTCAAAATGTCTAATTTCGAGTCAAAATAAGTCTTATTACACTTAAAATAAGACTCATCCTCCAAAAAGTAACGTGTTTTTAGACAATCAGCACTTGTTTCAACGAACTTTCACTAAAAAATAAGTAGAATAATTTGCCAGTGGAGCAAGTTTTTATTTCCTATTACAAGGAAATAGATTGTGCATTTTTATCATTACAGGGAGAATGTCCTTTTCGAGAACTGAACGATTGCTAAAAGCAATCGAAAATGACTCTGAGATTGAAGATTTGTCAGGTGGTGAAGAGGATGAAATCGCTCCATGTGAAGCAACTCTGGAGCAACCTGATAATTCTGATTCTGATTATCAACCTGATTCTGCTGACATAAGTGAAGATACTGACAGCGATGCGAGTGAGCCACAACATAAACAGCATCTTGAGAATGATGGTGAGACATAACCTAATTCCCATGTTTTTGCTCTGTAGCACTTTATTTCGTTCAAAATGTTGAGTATTTTGCAAATAAAATGTATTGTATTTTTATTATAAGAACCTGACCAGGATGTGCAAGGTAGCAGGCCAGGACCAAGAAATGGAAATAGAGAGTACTGGAAGTCTGCTCCATTCAACCCTGTCTTAGTCCCATTTCAAGGATCTGATGAACAACAAGACGAGAGAGCAGACATGTCGCCGGTGCAGTACATGGAACAGTACGTTGACATAGAACTGATGAAAGTCCTTGCCGACTGTACAAATTCTATGTCATTAGCTAAAAGTGGGAGATCTCTCAACACATCGGTTGAAGAGATGTACCACTTTTTTGGAGCATCCATCTTGATGTCCTGCATCCCTTACCCACAAATCCGCATGTTCTGGTCCACTAACCTGAAAATCCCTGCCATTAGTGACACAATGAGACGCGACCGATTCTTCAAGCTGAGGAGCCATCTGAAGGTGGTAATTGATGACGACATTCCTGATGACAGGAAAAAAGACAAATTCTGGAAGGTGAGGCCTTTCATGAATCGCATACTCAAAGGCTGCCATGTTCAGGCCCGACCAGAATCCGTCTCAATAGATGAACAGATGATACCATTCACTGGAGCCTGTCCGTTCCGCCAGTATGTGCCGCTAAAGCCAAATCCAGTTGGCATGAAGAATTTTGTCCTGGCAACAGCAGATGGCGTCGTTCTCGACTTTGAAGTTTACCAAGGTTCAAAGGCACTGGCTGCACAGGTGCTGGATGGAGAAGGATTGGGTTTGGGAGCCCTGGTCCTCAAACGCCTGACAAAAACAGTACATCCTGGTACAAAGGTGTACTGCGATAGGTTCTTCACCACCACATCAGCTGCGGAATCCATGCTGGAGAAGCAGGTATATATTTTATATAGTTTCCCAAGTACTGTTCAGTTTGTTATTATTGTTTTTTGCTTTTTCGGTTTCACAGCAGCAAATGATAACATTCATCAATCTGTGTCCATCTGTTGGTTAATTGTTGTGTCAGTCTGGTTCAGGGTGCAGGCTTACCCTGTTTTCTGTCAAGATGGCTGCCATAAAAAAATTTCCTTGCTACATCACTTTGAGATTATCTAATTGGTTTTGTTTTTAGGTGTACCTAACTGGTACAGTCATGAAGAACAGGATCCCAAAAGCAATGCAGAAGCTTCCAAGTGACAAGATCATGAAGCAGCAAGGCAGAGGTACCTCCGCATCAGTTGTCAGGGGAGATGGGAAACTGAATGTTGTGAAATGGTTTGACAACAAGCCGGTCCTGATGCTCTCTGCTGTCCACGCTAAGGAGCCAGAGGATACCTGCCAGCGGTGGTCCAAGAAGGACAAATGCTACTTAACCATCAGACGACCAAATATTGTACAGGAGTACAATGCAAAGATGGGTGGGGTCGACTTATCAGACAGAATGATGAGCTACTACAGGATGAGCGTGCGAACTAAGAAGTGGACAATTCGCATGCTTATGCACTTTATGGATCTTGCTCTGGCCAACAGCTGGCTGCTGTATCGCAGAGATCATCAAGAACAGGGTACCCCAAGAAAGGCTATCTTGACGTTCCTCGCGTTCCGCATGGACGTGGCTCAGGTATTCCTCAACAAGTGTGATGTCACACATGCAGAGGAAGAGAGTGCATGCTGTCCACAACCTGGCCAACGAGCCCTGGTCACGCCAATCCCCCACATCTCAGTGCGCACAACTTCTGCTGCTCATCTGCCGGAAGTTGCTGATCTCAAGAACCCAATGCGTTGCAGACAACAAGGCTGCGCTGGGAAATCCCGTGTACGCTGTCTGACATGCAATGTGTTCCTTTGCCTGCAAAGTCGGCGCAACTGCTATGAAGCCTTTCACGGAGGCCAGTAGGACTACTTGAATACTTGAATGTTTGTTTGTTTGCGTTTACTATGACACGTTCATAATGATGTTCATAAACGTTGCACTTTTCCATGCAAAGCCTTTCACAGAGGCAAGCAGAAATACTTGAATGTTTGAGTTTACTATGACATGTTCATAATGAAGTTCATAAACTTTGCACTTTTCCATGCAAAAGCTGCACTTTTATTTGCACTTTTGTGTTTGTTGGCAATATAAAATAAACTTTTGTACTTTATTAACCAATGGTGTCTTCATTGTGAAAGTCTGGACAGAAAGCAGCGTAACTGTACATACTGTGAAACACAGATGTAAATAATAACATTGATTGAATGGTCTTATCGTCACACAGATAGACCCAATGTCCTCATATGAGGACATTAGGTTTTGAGATAACCACTTATTGTAGAAAGCTAAAATTTCATTTTTAGGCTAATTGGGTCCTTATGATCCCAAATGGCAAGGAAAAAATGTATATGCAAAAACAGACCCACTGTCCTCATATGAGGGCATTGGTTTTGACATAGTTCAAGAGCACATAGAAAGCTAAAATTTAATTTCAACTAAAATTAGGTCATACTGATCCCAAATAGTAAGGAGACATAAAAAATGCACATCAAACAAAAGCCCAGGTCTCAAGAGAAAAATAAAGAGTCATGAGACTGGAAACCCTTCTGATACAGTGGAGTTGATCAATTTCATTGAACCCTTCAAATAAGTATTCTACAAGCTCTATAGACTGTGCAAATTCGCTGTTGCAAGGAGTTTTTCCAAACTAAAATGAGTGAAAATCTACCTCCGGTCCACCATTACTGATGAACGTCTTAGCAGTTTAGGGATGCTAAGCATTGAATCCAGAAGGGCAAAGGCTGTGGACCTTGATGCATTTGTGGACTATTTTGCAAGAAACCACAAACGCAGAGCACTTTTATTGTAGTGTTACAGGATTTGGTGTTGCCTTTGCAAAAGCATGAGAAACTGCTGAATTGAAAATGTGATTGTAGGTCACATTTTCAGTACATGTACAACAACAAACATATACCTACACAGATTTTACAATATTAATACATCAAAGTTAAAGGAGTGTTAGTCTACAAAAACTGTTTGTGAAGGTTTATTCTTCTCATGTGCAATATGTGAAATAGTTTGAATAGAAATAATTGTTTCATTGGTGCTATAAATAAACAAAAATGTAAAAAAAAAAAAAAAAAACTTCCTTTTTTTCCATTGTTCTTTCTGTGCCCCCATAAAAAAAACAATGGCCCCACCTTGCCCTCTGGAAATATTTTCCTAGAACCGCCGCTGCTCAAGAGCTTTTGAACTTAGGCTCAATCAATTTAAAGTTTATTGAACCTAATTTTTGAAAAGGACCCCAGAGCTGAAAGGGTTAAAAAAAGATTTTGTTGCTCTGACTGTAAACTTTTGTTTTGCTTGTTCATGAAACACACACTCACAAAAAAAAGGTAATTTTTGACTGAACCTTCCAGAAGCCCCTCAGATACACAAACTCACCCTAAGCTCCACGGCATTGATGAGCCGCCCACACTTGTCACACTGATCGCCTCGAGCCTCTGGATAACTGCAGTGGGGACATATACCTTCCACGAAGCGGTCAGCCAGGAACCGTTGACAGTTTTCACAGCGAAGCTGCTCCACCGTGTCTTCTACAAGGAACCCATTCTTCTGGAGTCGCCAGAAAATATCCTGAGCGATCCTAGAATAAAGGAAACAAAGATGACACTTAAATATTGCCAGTAATGTGGGAATATTGGATGTTTCCCCTCTTTTTTTAAAAGGTAAAGGAGTATTAAATTCCAGGACAACAGGATTTTGAGGGGACAAGTCCACCATCTGCTACTTAAGATACAACATACATTTTAGAACAGACTTATTCCATATTCACTACAGTTGAGAAATTTGCTGCAACTTAAACATTTTTTTTATCTGAATTTACAGGTCAACAAAAAGAAAAAAGACATAAAGCCGCCCATGTAGTGGAATATCAAAGAGGGAAAGTTCAAGTTATTGATGGGCGGGAATAACTCAAAAACACAGTCAAATAGAAGCGATAGTCTGTTTGTGGGCTGGTAGATCTAAAATCTAAAGATAAGCCTCCAGCATTTCTCCTCAAACAAGTGAAAAGTCTTTAATCTTAAGGGCTGTTTTTCTTTCTTAAAAAAAAAAAAAAAAACATGATTTGACTTGTTTGATGCCCTTTTAAGTTGCTTTGTATCAAAAACAAAGGCCTAAAAATAAGACTTCTGTCCGTTAGCATTTTTGGAGTAAAAGCCCTTGGATTTAAGTCTAAGCTTTTTTGGAGCAAAGATGCCTGATGTATGAAAAACCCATAATTTTGAAAGCTACGATGGCACAGAAAATAACGTTTTATATATATATGCAATATTACATGTAAAGAACATACTGTGGCTAAGCATTTAAGAGGAATAAAATGTATAATAAAATGTAAAAAGATCAGCCTTCATAAAATATATGAAGGCTGATCTATGAATCATGGACAAACATTTTTCTTTGGATCCTTTGATGAAAGATTTTCACATGCCTTTCTCATTTATCAATGATCAAATACTGTATGTATGGAAAACATCCTCCCAATGTATAAAATCTTTTCCAAAAGTTCAATGTTTACAAAAACATGGCTTAAAACAAGCTGCATATGAAATGTTTTATTATACATGTTTCACTTGTGACAGATATGTAGATATATTGCACCATTTTGGGATTTTGGCCAATATCCGATATGCCGATATTTTAAAACTCATATTACAATCTGTAAAACACATGTGGAATATCTATCACATGTGGGGCATTTCCCTGCAGGTTCCATGTGTGATAATTACACTGTGTAAAAACAAGTGAAATGGGAGGAAAACTATTTTTTTGACACGTTCTAACCCTGGAAATTTTATCACGTAACACGGGAACAACATGTGGAATAACTTCAATGTTTGGATAATTTTACCCACTTCATTATGACAATATATCCCATCCTAATTTCGATCTTTTCCAAAAAGTATGTTAGAAGTTATGAAAGAAAATGGTATTCACATGAAATATCTTCCATATTTAGAAGATTAACATATATTCCATTAACACAAGGAAATCATACCAAGTGGTATAATATGTTGATCATGTTGAAATGTTTTTGTAAAGCACATTTTTCTGTACATGACATGAGTTTAGCTCAGCTGAATTAAAGATTACAAGTGAAAACCTTTGAGCCACAGTAAGTTGCTGTTCAAATACATTGAAGGATGCTGATGCTTCTTAGGTTTTGTTGAGATTATTTCTGGACCACTTCTCTTGCTGGCTTCCATGTTTGCAGGCTGCTGCTCTTTTGCCAACATAAACTACCAGATGCTGTGCTCCGTTTTGGCTACCCTGGGAATTCTCATAGGATTGGCTCAGGGAAGTAAACATGCCTATGCAATGCACCGCAGTAGACCTGCATCCAACCTCAAGGTATGAAAGGGGAACACCTTGAGTAACACACTCTTCATAGGGAGTACAAAATTGTTATAGGGAATGTTCTTTCCATCATGGGTGACAAAAAATATTGCTTTTGGTTATTATATATATTACATTTCTTAATTACTGCTCCTTCAAAATAAACAATTGAAAAGAAACAGCAAAGACAAACTTAGAACTTTCATATGTTGCAAAAGCTGAAAGAATCAAATAAAATTTCTGGTTAAGAGAAATAAACTTTTGCAGCAGGATGCATAATATTACAGTAATCCTATTAACGTTATGTAATCTTATAATAACTAGAAGTATTCCGATCCTTCCAGTGCATTAATTATCAAATAAGGTCAGGATAGGAATACATAAAAAAATGAAGTTTTGATTGCTGTTGAAAGGCTTCATGTTACTAAATATTTTTTTTCTCATTTATGTTTTTTTTTTTTTATCTTTTAACTTAAAAGTTAAACTAACCCCCCCAAAAAAACTTTTAACATTTAAACAGGTTGGCCTATAGGGGGAAATCTATGCGTTACTCGTTACTGTAAAAATCCTCCCCCTCAAAAGGTCTGCCTGTGGTATAACTACTGGTGTCTCACGCTAATCCCCCACTGCACATCCCTACGCTTAGCCCTGCCAGTCAGCATCTCTTGGTACCGACCACCTTGAAAGGAATTTCCAAGTTTGTCTGGGAGCAGGATTCGGTTTTTCCATGAGGTGAGTCACACTTTAAAGAGCCAAATGAACTTACTCTGTCTGCTTCTCTGTGGTGGTTCTCCCAAAGAAGTCAAAGTCAATCTGGAACCATCTGTAGATGCTGGAGTGAACAGCATGGTACTTGTCACATATCTGCTTCGGCGTCAGTCCCTCCTCTCTGGCCTTGTTCTCGGTAGCTGTTCCATACTCGTCTGTGCCACAGACAAACAACACATTCCAACCCCGCAGGCGGCCATACCTGGGAGACACGGAGGAACGGGTAGTGGTAAGAAAGAAAACGTAAAGAGAGAGAGAAAAAAAGAGGGAATTTAAATTCCTACCTGGAGAAGACATCTGCACTGAGGACACAGCCAATGATGTTACCCAGGTGGGGAACATTGTTGACATATGGCAAGGCGCTGGTGATCAGGACGTTCCTCATGCCCTCCTTTGGCATACTGTTAGGAAAAAAAAGAAAAGAACAGAAACATAAAAAAATGTCAGTTTTCTTCGCTATCTTTAAATGCTCGTTGCAAGAAAACATATCATCCTCTCCTATGGGAAATGAGCCAGCTTGAAACAACACCACCAGCAGAAAACATTCAGTATTGAGCTTACATCACTTACATTGGATGTTGTTTTTCTGTTGTCTGAGAGCAGGCGTTTATATCCTTCCTCCAGGTCAGAGCTGCCGCTTCCATTTCCTCCTCTGAAACAACACGCTCACCTTCTTCAGTCTAACCCAAAAACAGAAATAAACATTACTTATATTGCTATTCTTAATGTACAGAAAGACTGAATCCACATTTTACCATTGCAGGGAGGACTCCCTTTGAATATACAACTGCTTGATTTGGAGCAGACTGAAGCCAGGTTTTGCAGCAGTTTTATCAATAAAACTTAAACCTCTCTTGCCTGCTAATGTTGTTACGCCATATAATACTAATAGTGCAGTTATATATTAAGAGGGTGAAAATAAATTCCCTGTAACCCCACGGTTAGACATTTCCCAACTACTGTAAGCCGTGAAGTTTTTCTAATGTGAAGTTTCTACTTTTCAGTAGAG